TCGCGGGCCCCGCGCACACGCTGCTCTGCTTTCGGCCCGTACGGGCAGGACAGGGCTCGTGGTGGTTCACCAGTGCGCCGCCTGCCCTCACCCTTCCCCAGCAGGCGCAGGGCTGGGAACTTGTGCAGTCCTCGCGGTGAGCACCTGGTTACATCCCCCCACTCCTTCAGAGACCAGCTCTTGCCCTCTCTCCCACTCGTCCACCACCAGTAACCGGAGTCTTGGCTGCTGGTAAGAAACCGGAGGGGGAAGGATGGCTCCCAGCAGAGTGAAGGCCCTTGACCTCCCTCTGCAGCCAGGCTGCACCCTGGCAGAGGTGCCAAATATAGGTGGAAGCTGGGCCTCAGCAGGCCTGCTGTATCAACACTGCTGCTGCCAACCTGGTGGTGCCCTCTGAACCTTCAATACAGGAGACAAAAACATTGTAGCAAATATTCTGTAGGTAACTAAACGAGTATTCTGTGGAAAAACTAAATGTGGTTAACTAGAAAGACCAGGTGGTCTCCTAGTTCTCTTCAGCACCTTCCTAGATACCAATTTATTATAAAGCACTTGAAACTGCAAAGCAGTTCTCTGCAAAAAGCAAAGAGAAAGCACAGTTACAATGATCAAAGAAAGCTTTACTCTTAAGGGGGACACACCTTACTCCCCCAAATACTATAGTGGAAATAATTCTTCTTGTATTTTTAGTTTGAGCATTTGATAGTTCTTCATTCAGTCAACTCAACCATGTTGCCATCCTTTGCACTGTCACAGCTCAGATGATAGTTCCACAAGAAATTATTTACCAATGAGGTCAGCAACAAAGCTCCAACTAGTGGCAAAGACCAAGATCATAAAGAGAAGAGCAGATAGAGGGGAGTAGAAGTGGGCAAGTTTGGTTCTGCACTCTCCCGCCAATCAAAAGAACAATTGCTCTAAACATCAGAAGGAAAAGTAAATTTAAAACGCCCTTTAAAAAAATTCAATAAATACCTTTTTAAAATGTTTTCTTCAAATAGATTTTAGTTCATTAAAAAAAAAACCTAACATTTCAAAATCTGAAAAAGATTACAACTACTTGGTTTCTTCAAGTATTATTGTATGTATACAGTGAAAAGCCATACAAAAAGGTTTTTAGCTTACATAAGATACAGCCAAACATTACATTAATTTGTAAATAAATGCTAATGAAACATTTGATAACGTTTCAGGTTTTGGTTTTGTAACTAAACTACAAGATTCAGTAAATGTATTTGAGATAGAACAATAACTGAGTTCACAGCTGACTAGGAAGACCATGTTTTACAGTGGATATAGTCTTAAAGCCTCTCTGTAAAACCATTTCTAACGAAATCTTTCACAAATGCCAGTCATGCACACTACTGTGTTAGTCTTGATTGTTGAATGGCTGGTTGGTTAACGCATACTATTTTCCATACCATTCATCCTGTTTTCCAGGAATATATAGCAGTTTTCTGAGCAGAGCTAGTTACATACTAAGCTGCTACAGTTCTTGGTGCTTGTTTCCTTCACTAATACAAATTCTCCAGTGTAAAACTGCTATGATGATGATAGCACCAGCTGAAAGATCAGGAGACAAGGCAAAATCTCCAGGAGACATAGGGGAAAGACTGCATTACACATTTCATGTAGCATGTTCAACCATGGCATATCAATTTACATTGCAGAGATGTAATGAATTCTGCTGCAAACTGGGAATTATGTAACAGTACTAATGTATTCTGAAACAACCCTTTATTTTGTCCTTTTGTTAAGCAGGCACCACTGATGGATAGGTAGTGGTAGGCTAATCAATTCTTAGAAAAAATATGAAAAAGGTTGGAGAAGAATTGCAAAAGGCACTCTCTGCGACTTCTCAGGGTAGTCAGGTCCTAACGAAGCTTGGGTGCTCTCTTCCAGACAGTAGTCTGGTCCCTTCTGCCCATGTCATTACATGCATCCTACTGTCTCAAACAGCTATGCAATCCTATCTTTTTGGGTTCTTAAAATGCTTAGTAGATAAAGAAGTAACAACTAGAACATGACAGAAAACAGAATTTGACAGGTTTATGCAGCATCCATATAAAAGAAAAAATGCGAAGCCAGGCTGCATTACACACAGGACCTGGGTGACATGGTGCAAGCCCAGGCTACAGCAAATCTGCTTCTTCTTGAAAATAAATTCTCCTTCGGTTATCCGCTGTAAAACATCCTCACTCCCCAAATATCAAACACCTGATACATTGGTGCTACTTATCAGGAACTTTGCATTTTTCCCTTCCTCCTCGCCTGGTGTTCTGTTGCCTTCTTTTGAGGCTCATAATCAGTAAGTTTGCAAACATCTGCATTTATTTCTATTTGAATTAGATGTGTATTAAGTATAAATTAAGTATAAATTGACAGAGTTCTGTTTGTAAATATTATCTAACTTAAAGGTCAACAGGCACAAAAAAAAGCACAAAAATGCCTTGTAATAAACTAATGAACAACAGACTACAGTTTGCACTGCATGGAATACTTGCTGCCTACAGACATAAAATGGAACAATGAGGCAAAGCTAGGCTTTACCAATCACACCAGTCAAGTCCCCCTTGTAATTCTGTTTTTTAAAGACTCAAATCTAGCAGGAGTTTAAAATAGTCATCTGCCTGAACCTGTGAATTTTATTTAAATTTTTTTTAAATCACTTCATTAGTTAAACAGAATAATGTGTGAAAACAGAAGTGTAAGAGGAACATTAGTGATTATGGTCTCTGTAGCTGCCTAATACTGAAAACCACCTGTTTGGATTTACTGAGACAGGAGCTAGGTTTAAATACGGTAAATGCACAAAGATAATTCCTTTGAGCGAGTGTTCCCACAACCTGAGAGCAGGAAGGGACTTGAGAAGTCTTTTTTGCAACTGGGACTCTTCTGTGGGACTTGAAATAATTTAACCTCCTCTCACTGCTAAGGAATTGTCTTTATGACTGACCTCCAGTCACATTTTATTTTTTCAGGCAGGGAAAATACTTACAATAATATTTTACAATGTTTTTTTGAACACAGTACTACTGACAAGGTACGTGTTTTTATTTTCCTAGGTTACTCAGTAATTCAAGGGAGTCTCCTTTAATTTGAAGTGTTATTTACTATGCTTATTAAAATATCTCTTAACAAGACATAGGAAACCAAGTTTTTACCTGCATGAGCATTCTATACTGATACCTATCCATCCTACCTATTGACAGAAAAACACCTTCCAGAAATTAGGTAGATTGTAAATGTATTTTTATTATGTAGCAACAATCAAAATATATATGTACTACTGATTTTTCCCCCAAATATTAAATGAAAAAAACTTAATACAGTTTGCCTCCTCTGTGTTCTTGAACTGCTGTGGAATCTGTAAGACCCTGACACAAAGAATCAGAAGCAACTGCACAACAGAGACTGAAAGTTGTTATAGTGCTGAAAATGATACCTTTCATTTAACCATATATATCTTCAGCAGTCCCTGATTTCTGAGTGTTAACAACAGACAAATACACACAGAAAGCACTCCAACAGTAGATTCATTATTTAAATACAACTGTATCCAACATAGCTGCTAAACACTGGACAATATTTGAGGTCATCAGCACATCCACATGTTCTTCTAAATGACGTTTGGGGTCCTGAAACAAATATTAAAACACACTATTAGAGAAATCATTAAGATGTGAAATGCTCCAAGAAAAGACATGTGTTTCAGTTGCACTTGAGGACACTGAAATAATGTTCCCAGCCTGTAAAGTCACCCTTTTCCTTTCTTCAAATATTGTATATAGCTTTGATTCTGAGTTTTCATGACTGTGACCTTGTTAATCCTTAACATAATCCAAAAAGAGCCATGTGTGGGTTAAGCAAATATGCATGGGTCAATTTGTCTCTCCAATTCTGGAAGTATAAAATGAAAACAAAGTTTTTA